TAAAGAATATCAAGTGACATAACTGAGCTGATGCCCAAGATGACTACAAGCTGCTCTCACGTTTTCTTTTCCAGCTGATCATTTCACCGTCATGTAAGCCTCATGTCACTGTGATGATCTGAACACTCATCAAAGTTGCGAATGCTAGGCTCTGCGTTATAGAAACACGTGCAGTCTTGAATGAATATGTCTTGGAAAAGGCGGTATCAAGCTGCAAGTCTGTTTAATATAGTGATGCGGGGTACACGCTTAGTCTGTCGCAGCATCGTACCGTATTTGGCTCTGTTGCTGGATTCAGCTTTGATTCAAAGGTCACGCTCCCTCCACGCGCACGAAGCACTGCGCGCGTGGTCGGGTCTCTGTACCCCTGTTTGGCCTCAGGTTCGTTTCAAACCAGTAAGAAGTCTTTGCTGGATCAAGGGCTTCGCATCACCCCGTCGTGCACGCGGAGTCGACACCGTCTTTCCAAATGCCAAGATTGCGCCATCGCAGCGACGCCACCCGCGCCTATTTTCACTGGCCCGTGTTTAGTCAAAGGGAACGTGTGTCATCGGGCGACCGATGCTCACGGAGACAACGGCTCGAAACGGAGGACTGGGCGGCGGTGACACGTCACGCAGTTGGCCGTCGCATGATATGCAGGTCAGCCCTGAAATTTCCAACTGCCGGGTTTAGGGACCATTCTAGGTTGTCGGTAACCTCATCTTTATTTGCAAGAAGTATCTCACAGTTTGGAAGAGTGGCATCCTATTGCGAAATGGTGGAAGTTTGCGACTCTACTCTGTGCTGTCATGGTCATCATGAGGAGAGGCGTGTACATCTTTTCTCTTGGCTGGGCGAGTCAAGAAGGCACATGTGGGAATGAATGCTCTTGTGGCACTAAGTACCGGCGAAAGAAACACTACTCCTTGCATACGATTGACGGTCCCAATATCTGGTCCGCCCATCTGATTACTTACAGGTTGCAACGGAACTCCAATATGGGCACGTTGGTTCCGCTGGTTGAAATGTGTTCGACTTTGCTTCCTATATAAGAGGTATTACAGCACTTATCAGCGTTGTCAATGTTTGACATATGTTGATTGCACACTCTCAACTTTCCGAGATCCGAAAAAATACTTCTTTGCGTTTCAGTCTCTCTTTACTATAACGATGGCCCCCGATCAACGTTGCCAAACATCATTGGCTCGCAATATTGCTCCCTAGATCCCTGATGTAACGCTGTCAAGTCGGAGATGACGGCATAGGGACAGACACGCGAAAACGACTTCTACACCACGCGTGACATTCCTCGAAGTTAGCGTTTTTTTATTCATCGTCACCTGAGGGAAACACAATGTGTCAGACTCACTAAGGTCTATCCGACCTGCTTTACTAGGCAGTTCAGTTCAAGAACTCGTTCACAAGATAGAGGTCTATACTTTTGCAGCTGTTGGCTTGGCATCAATTATGTTGGCAAAGATCATGCTCTCCACCAACTGGCGAAGCAAGGGTGTGGTTCGACGTGTATCATGGCCGTTGGGCTTACAGATATAAACCTCTGGGGTTTGCCGGGCGTGTAGATCCTTCAGAATGCTCGAATCCCATCTCCACTTAAGACAGAAAGATACTCAATACGATAACATGAGGATTATAAGCTTATTCTCTCATCTGCTATGGTGGGCGGCCATAACCAATGTCAACGCATCCGCTATTCCCCGGCGGTCACCCGGTGTGGTAGTCAAAGCCGGCGAGCCTGTTGTTATTGACCCTAATGGAGTGTACATTCGCGGGAGTCTGACCAGTGATGGTGGCCTGATCGCGGGCTACACAGCTCACGAGAATAATCAAGCGATCCTTCGTTTGGTGCGCTCTACGAACGGCGGTTCATCATGGCAGTTCGTCAGCGAAGTTTACCGTGGGGACGTGGGAACACACGACATTGACAATCCGATGGTGCTTCAGATTCCTAGCGGCCGCATTTTGTACGCTTATCGCAATCACGATCGCTCAGACGGTGCTTATACCTATTATCGGATTTCTATATCATACTCAGACGACGGTGGCAAGACCTTTAACTACCTTTCCCAAGTCGAACAGCGGTCGCCCATACCAAACACCCCAAGCGGACTGTGGGAACCTTTTCTTCGACTTGCTGCAGATGGGTCGTTACAGTGTTACTATTCCTCTGAGAATAGCAGTAGTGACCAAGACGGCTTCATGAAGCATTCAAGTGATGGTGGGAAGACCTGGTCCAGTCCCATTCGCGTATCGGGAGGCGACCGAGTTTCGCGTGACGGTATGATCGGAGTTGCTACTACGGGCAGCTCAAAAGATTTGATGTATGTTCACACCTATACTAAAACAATCAACTCAGAAACAAGTCTAGACAGCAAATTCTGACAAGTAGCGTGGGAATAGAGCGGTTTTCGAGAACACTGAAACAGGATCGTTCACAGTTGACTACGTCCTATCACATGATGATGGGTACACCTGGGGTCAACGAGGACGGTTGTATACACCGCGGAACGGCGGTATGGCCGGAGCCCCTCAGGTCTACAACGTTGGGGGGACTCTGGTAGCTAGCTTTATGACCAATGAAGATGTTCCGGGTCTTAATGATCTTGATGGTGGGCAGATGAAGGTCATCACTAGCACCGATGGGGGCAACACATGGAGTGGAAGCGTTGTCACTGGCGAGACTGGCTCGCACTGGCCCGGACTTTTGACTCGGGATGCTACGCATTTCCTCGCACTTTACTCCAGAAGCGGTCTAGGGGCCGTCAGTCAGCTCTATCAGTTGCAATGAACGGTGAGTGACCAAGATGATGGAATTAAGTTACTATGTCGTGTCTTATGCCAGCTGCTAGGCGGGAAAGTTTATATTTGAAGTCCGAGTGCTGAAGATGGGGTGAGGGGGTTTGTTAATTATGTATATAGTACAATGAACCATTCCTTAAACTGAGATACACGATTAGTATGGCGTAGGAAGCAGGATGTACGCATTGACAAAGCTTGATTTCGAGCCTTTATATGTCTATCGTGGCAGTGCATTAACCGTTGATGCGGCATGCATATTAATGGGTCACTCTTAGCAATGCCTCAATGCCAACGCCCGGCTTCTATAATCGGATACTCGTCATATGTGACTAGTTCTTTTCTTTTTTCCCTGATCTTTTTTAGCTTTCCCCCCTTGCGTCACCGTATAGAAAATGGAGCGCTCTAGCCGTACTTAGAAGGCAAATAGTCACACGTTTGAACTCGACATGTTAGAACGACCAATAATCACCCACAATTTACCAATATATGAAAGCCGTATGCAGCATGTGCCGCGAGGTGTTATAAACAGCTTTTAGTGAAATACGGGAGTGTGTTAAAAGCAACTTAACAAGCAAAAGAGCGTGAGATTCAACTTGATTGAGATGGTTACTCTTTTAAGTGCTATTTGAATGGAAACTCGTTCTCGCAAGTCTCTTTGGCCGCTTTGGCCGTTCCGACTACTTTGTCACCTAATTCTTCTCCTTGACTTAAGGCGCAGCTCTAAGATACAGAATTGCAATTATCTGCATGGACTTTTCAAAGTGCGACCGATGATTTTAGAACGGATCATGGCTGTTATTCAGACCTCAGCACATTCAAAGATCTCCCAACCTGTCAATCCGCCATAAAGAAGGCGCACTCTTACAGATAGTATAGACGTGTCTTCTGGAACCTACAGCAGATTTGATGTAAAAAAAGACATCTTATGTTGAATTACATAGCTTTACAAGTCACCGTTTCCCGCCCACCAGCTATTTGTTCGAATGCGATATAAGATGAAACTCCAATGAGTTTGTTTTACTGTTCAACCTTGGGATGTTCGTGAAATTGATGCTTAAGTTCTCAATATCAGCTCCCAAGTCTCCTGAGCAAGAGGTGTTCCCCACCTTTCCTTCTCTTCCTCTACATTCGTTATTTCGAAACCCTCACGTCTATATAGCCTTCTAGCGCTTTCCAATACGCCGAAAGTCCAAAGTACGATCTTCACGTAGCCTTTCTCTCTAGCGAATGCAACGCATTCACGAACGAGGCCTGCTCCAAGCCCTGTGCCCCGGGCGGCGGGATCAACAAGTAGCAGACGTATTTGCGCTACGCTTCTGTCTTGTCTGTGTTTGAGCAAAGCGATGGAGCCAAGAAACTCTTTCGTCTCCTTTGATTCTCCTATAAACACTCGCTCTTTATCAGAGTCGAAGTTGTCAAGGATATCGCTGACTAGACGCGCTGATTTACTTTCGAATTCAAATCCCCATCCGAATTCTTGTGCATACTGTTGATTGTTCAATTAATGTGATAACCACGGAAGGTCTCCGTACATACTAAAGAACCATGGCGGCTCACAATCATGCCCATATCACCAGGAAGATGAGTCCTGATGTTGAACGCAGAAGTGGAGCAGATGTTTGTTGCTGCCATCGTCAATCCGAGTGCCGATACCTGAAGATTTGAGTCAGGATTTCCGTAACACAAACGAGGTTCATGATATGGGCTAGGTGATTCGAATCAAGAGATTCAACATACAGCTGCACAATGATGGGGCTTGATATCTTACTAATTCGTATGTCAAATAAACAACCACATTGCTGTATCAAACTTCGGTGGGCGGAAGATGCTTGCAATGGCAAACTTGTTTAAGTGCGTGTAGTGTAGGGGATATGTAATGTACGTGGTGCTTTGTAGCTGCAAGATATCCAAGTGTCTTATGAGTCACGAGGGACGCAGGGATGGAAGGCTTGCGGAGAGACTAAACTCCATCAAGTTCTCTTCGGCTTCATGATCATCGGCATTCCCGATAGCAAAAGGACAATGGACAATGGAACGAACCTGGATCTACTTTCACACCTATGACTGCGTCGAAACCATTTTCCTGATGAGCCTTTCTGTCTTGGTACATTATTCATGAGGAAAAGATAACATAAACTCTCTTCCTTGAGCAACCTGACGACGCATAATCAAGTCTCGGACAACGAGAAAAAATAAATTAAGGGTCTGGCCGGGAGTCGAACCCGGGACCTCTCGCATGCTTAGATGTGCTTGAAGGGTGTGCCCTAAGCGAGAATCATACCACTAGACCACCAGACCTTCTTCGGCGCTTTGTAATGTGGTTGCCGATCCACATCGTGAACTGCTGCTGGGCGATGTTTGACGATGAGCTACCGTCCCTTATATATGAAATTTTTTCGCTGGGGCTAGCCGCCGACCGGTTGCAAGCTCCCGCGCCAGCTCGATTGGATCGCATCCATCCGCCGAGACAGCCGAGATAGCTTGATGGTACCTGACGAAAGTGGATCTGGCTACCAACCCTACTTCAATGTATGCATCGGAGACTTGACTGCCGACGGCAATTTTCGCTGGCTGCATACATGTAGTTTGCGTTTTCTCGTCGGGTGGCAGCTTGCTTCATCATCGCATTCTGTCCCTATCATAACCTAAGTCTTTATTGCTCTTCCTTCTAAATCGGAATACATGTTCAAAATGCACGAAGCCATCCGTTCCAATGGTTCGGGTTCCGCTCAGCCGGTGCTTGACCAGCGGCCACTCCGACCACAACTCAGCCCTAAGGAGTTGTCGGTGAATGAGGTCAGGGATCGCAATTGCCATTGACGAGCTACACAACAGACATGGAGGTTTTTCCAATAGCATCCTATTTGGGCAGTTCGTATGTATAATACGCTGAACACTATGTCGATCTTGCGGAGGATGCATGTGCGGAGGTTGGAACGTCGGTTCATCAAGTACCGATGCCCATTTACAGTTGTTACCGCCGTGCCCTCTTCGTCTGCTCGATGAAATATTCTAATTGAACTTCTTTCGTCTTTTAACGTTTGTATATTCAAGTATAACTGACACGAGAAATGCTACGCCCTACGTTCCTGTTCAACCGGGGGTTGTGGCTTTGGCTGTTGTTGTTGTTGCAGTTGTCTCACGTTACCGCACTGCCAACGGATGTCGATAACACACAGCCAGTGCGTCGGCGTGACACGGCTGGCCGAGAACGGATAAGTCTCAATCGAGATTGGAAGTTCTCAAGGTTCGAGACGAATCCAGACGCGTTATCTTACAATGTCCTCAAAGAATGGATCTTGCCAAGTGGAAATGACTTCATTGTAAACGGCACAAAACATCAACGTCCAACGGGACCAGCCCCAGGCCAGAATGTCACATATGTGACGTCTAGTTTCGATGATGGCAGCTGGGAATCAGTCGACTTGCCACATGACTGGGCAGTCAAAGGACCATTCGGTGCACCTGGTGTCAGCGGCGGTATGGGCAGGCTCCCTTCGAATGGCGTTGGTTGGTACCGAAAGACCCTCGCGCTGACGCCGGATGATCTCAGCAAGAGCGTCTTTCTAGATATCGATGGTGCCATGTCATACTCGGCAGTCTGGCTAAACGGTAGATTGGTCGGCGGGTGGCCATACGGCTATAACTCTTTCAGACTTGATCTGACGCCGTACGCGGTGGACGGGGCAAATCAGCTGGCAATTCGCTTAGACAACGCTTTAGACTCGTCGCGCTGGTATCCTGGAGCGGGCATCTACAGAAATGTCTGGCTCGTCAAGGTTGATCCGGTCCATGTGCGCCAACACGGTACCTATATCACCACCACTGACGTTTCTGAAGATTCCGCAACTGTGAATCTCGCCGTCGAGGTTGAGAACAGGGGGAACGAAACAAAGACCGTCGACATAGAAACGACTGTGTACGCCATCGATCTCGACACAGGAGTCAGCACAGGGGAAGTTGCAGCGACCTTTGAATCCAAGAGAATTGTTGCTGCACCCAATTCGACACAATCCATTGACGGTTGGACAACCATTGATAGTCCGTCATTATGGGGACCTCCACCGTCACAAAAGCCCAACATGTATGTGGCCGTCACGGTCTTGACCAGCAATGGTAATACAATCGACAACTACACTACCACTTTCGGCATCCGATCGGTTACATATGACGCAAATAAGGGATTACTAGGTAAGCTGGCACAATGCCGCGCACAACATGTTGCTTACACGAGAATATTACATCTTTCTCAGTCAGCTACTGACGCTAAGTGCCACAGTGAACGGAGAGCACGTATATGTGCAGGGTACCTGCAATCACCATGACCAAGGATCCCTCGGGGCGGCTTTTCACAACAGAGCAGCTGAACGCCAACTGGAGATATTACAATCCATGGGCAGCAACGCTCTCCGAACAACACATAATCCCCCTGCGTCCGAGTTCCTGGACATTGCGGACCGTTTAGGCTTTCTAGTATATGATGAAATATTCGACTGCTGGGAGGTAGCCAAGGTAACAAACGACTATCATCTGATTTTCTCGGATTGGAAGGAGCCTGACCTTCGCTCTTTTCTTCGACGAGATCGGAACCATCCTTCCGTCATCGCCTGGGGTATTGGGAACGAGATTCCAGAGCAGAGGGACGCGTCTGGGGTTGCAATCGCTCAAGAACTGCGGTATATCGCGCAGTCTGAAGACCCCACCAGACCAGTTACCATGGCACTCAACGACGCGACCGGCACAGATGCGATAGCGGGCGTGCTGGACATCGAAGGCCTCAACTACCAGGGAGAGGGTCGGGGGACGTCATACGATTCGTCATTCCCAACGTTCCATGGCGCACAGCCAAGCAAGATGATTTGGAGCAGCGAATCATCCTCGGCAGTGAGTTCGCGGGGGACGTTCCTCTTCCCCGTGACCCCGGACCGGCACGCCAACGTGGGGGAAGATTCAGGTGAAAACTCAACTTCTCTGCAAGTCAGTTCGTACGAGCTTTACGGGGTATCCTGGGGCTCTTCTCCCGATAAAGTGTTCTTGGAACAGGACAATTACACCTACGTGGCTGGAGAATTCGTCTGGACGGGCTTTGACTACATCGGTGAGCCGACCCCGTATGACGACGAAGCGCGAAGTTCGTATTTCGGCATCGTCGATCTGGCAGGCTTTAAGAAGGACAGATTTTTTCTGTACCAAGCTCGTTGGCGCCCGGATTACCCCATGGCTCATATTCTGCCCCACTGGACCTGGCCGGAGCGAGTTGGACAAGTAACGCCAGTCCATGTCTTCTCATCCGGCGATTCTGCTGAGCTCTTCGTGAATGGAAAATCCGCCGGCCTTCGAAATAGGACCAAAACAGAATATCGCTTCCGTTGGGATGACGTCACGTACCAAGTCGGTGACTTGAGAGTTGTAACCTATAAGGGCGGAAAGGAATGGGCCACGGACACGAAAGTCACGGCCGGGCCGGCAGTTGGATTGAACGTGCGTAATTTTTGAGTTCTTCATCTTATCCGCAGGTAATGAGGCAGCATTGCTAACAGTTTTTCAAAGATATTGGCCGATAGCTCTCAAATATCCGGTGACGGACAAGACCTGTCGTACATCAGCATCGCAGTTGTTGATGCAAACAACACTGTTGTGCCCCGTGCCGACAATACTATTGTTTTCTCTATTGATGGCCCTGCTGAGATCGTCTCCACGGACAACGGCAACCCAGCCGACATGACAGCCTTCCCCTCGTTGACTCGAAAGGCTTTCAGTGGATATGCTCTAGCCATTGTCCGGGCTACCGCTGGAGCCTCAGGCACCATCACTGTATCTGCGACTTCGGATGGGCTCGAGAGTGCGTCAGTGACTGTACAAGCTGGCTAAAAAGATGGACATTTACCTAAAGTGATGTGAGGTCAGACCACGGCCGTGGACATCCTCTTGTAATGGTTGAGGCAAGTTGCGAAGACGACACTGTGAGCACATGTATCTAGTTCTTTTTTTAAAAAATATACTGCCTCATCTGGTCAACATGCGAACCGAAAAGGGGCATCACTTGAAGGTTGCTATGTTCAAATGGTCACTGTTTGTGAAGCGATTCGCCTGTAGCTTGCATATCCATCTCAACCCCTTTTGCTGACTCGACCCAGCTGCCCCAGTCAATTGTTGGATCCAAGTCCAGGTCCATATCTGTCGTGCCCGCACCTGAGTTTGCGAACAGCTCTAGGTCATTTTCGGGGCTTGCCCAGAACCAGTTCAAAAGCCCAGACTGGCCGTGATCCCAACTGCCAGCAGGCTGACAAGGATCACCATATGAGAGTATCTCCGTGCTCTGTTGATTATATACATCTTGAGTGGGCATCAGCAACGACGATTCGGCATTTGTCTCGGACACATTATGTGTGGAAATGGTGGCGGAGGCGTGGCTGAGCTGCGATACTGGAGCGGTAGTCACTTGATCGAAGTTACCCGCCTGCCTATTCAAGGTGAGTTGGCTTTGAGAATATGTTGGCCACGGATCGCCAGGGCCTAGCTTATCGGTTGGCAGTGTAGGCTGCTCTCCGCTGCTTGCCATGCCTACTAGATCTCGCCATTTCCTACGAAATATCTCAGCACCATCTTGAACAGACACTGGGCCAACTGTGGATGGCAGAGGTAGCTTTCGATCCACTTCTTCGAGCTGCTGAGCGGCCCGCTTGTCGCTACGCAGTCTAGTGAGTTCTGATGCCCGATAGTCACGGGCTTTAGTCATCAAGCTTCGGAAGGGAACCCAGATGCGGAGATTCTTGTCGAGGTTGTGCTGTGATGGGATCAACCACGGACTTTGCAACGACAGCCAAGCGCGCTCGATAGTCGATGACCAGGGGCGACGAGATATGTCAATGAGGATGTACACAATGGCATGCCACTGAGTATATGTCTGAAATAACCAGCGCCAGTGCCTGCAGGCTTGTTCGGCATTCAGAGCGTGATTAAATTCGGCAACTTCGATCGCTGTGATCAACAGCTTATTTTGTATTTCCTCGGATAAGGTTTCTCCTGGCGACGAGAACAGGACAGGTAAATGAGTGAGAAGTGTTAGTTTGCCACACATGACGCGCAGGGCAACAACGGCTACCCATGCAGCAATGTCGCCGGGATCCTTTGAATATTTCAGGTATCCCTTATCCAGCTCGGCATAGACTTGACCCAACAGACGGTCTTGCTCGGACATGGTAGTTCTAGGCAGCATCATCTGTCTAGAAAAGTTGCTCGTGATCGCCGTGACAAGCGGCAATGACATGTCAGTTATGCCTTCACGTTCCACGGGC